CTGGCCTTACTACTAGGAGCAAGAAGCTACTAGTAATAAGTGCCTTATTAGTAGTAACAAACATATAACTATTAATTAGTATATAATTAGTTATGTTGTGCTAGAATCTCCGGTCATCCCATGAAGCCCCATCGCTGGTTTCCAGCGCCGAAAGACCGTCAAACACCCGGTCAACACATGCACACGGCTGTGTGTTTGAGGTCCTGGTACACCAACTCTCACACATTTTGGGCAAGAAGCGCATCCCATGGAGTCAGGCCAGGCGCATGATGTCACTTCAGCACAGATTGACCAAGATCGTGTTAAATTCAAAGTCAGGTGATCGCAATGTTAAGGAAGCTGCACAACTTTTCTTGTCATTTGCTACACATGGCAATGAAACAGATGGGTTTGGACCTTGAGCCCAAGAAGTGCCACAGCGGATGCCCTGATTTTTTCCCGCCAGTTGGACTTTGCGCCACTGCGGAAGCGTCACGCCAATGACCCGCGACGCTCTCTGACCGAGATGCTGCCACTGTCCGTGAACCGTTTGGGACTCAGAGGGGTACAGGGCTGGCCATGGCGTGCTGAGGGGACCAAGTGGCCAGCAGCGCGATGCACAGAACGCATAGCAGGATATTTACCAGGCTACCGCCTGCAGCCGCCGACCCCCAAGGGATAGAACCTTAGCGCTAGCCTTGCCTCAAGCCTTAGCCTTAGCCTTAAGAGTGCAGACCCAACCCAGCACCACCAAAGCAGGTACCCAAAAAAGTCGACTTTTTGGGTACCTCCCAGATTTACCATCGGACGTCAGCTCTTGCATGAACCCCGATCATTGCCCAAGAATTTAGACACAACCCTTCACCACCAAAGCAGGTACCCAAAAAGTCGACTTTTTGGGTACCTCCCAGGTTTACCAATTTAGACCCAACCCAGCACCACCAAAGCAGGTACCCAAAAAGACAAAGCCTAGAGCATTCCTAGGAAAATGCCAGAAAAGCTTTTGAAAATCTCATAAACCAACAGAAAACGTGACAAAATCTACGAAAAAGCAAGGGCATTGGCCGGGACCATGCCGCGACCAGCCCGGGATTCGAGCCCAGGACCATTTTGGACCGTGCTTATTTTCCCGCGCGGGTCGAGAGGGTGCCCCAAGATGTAAATCAATTGGGATGGCAGATTCTTGGACAATCCAGGTCGCTTTCCCGGCAGGATTTCGTCACTGCAACAAGGGTCCGGAGGGGTAGGGGAGGTAAGGTCTAGGTCTAGGTCTAAGGCTAAGGACTAGGTCTAAGGTCTAAGGCTAAGGCTAAGGCTAAGGCTTAAGGCTAAGGCTAACATCGACAGTCACGCCTCACCCCACGGTGTGGGGTCGGCGGATTTTAGGTGGACGGGAGCTTTGTATATAATATACTGAATGTACACTGTAATAATATAATAGTAGCTTTGTCGTACTTGCGTGCATATTCATATGTCAAGGAACCAACTGAATATACTGAATGTTTCCAGGCGATCAAACAAGTCGCTTGCCTTGGTTCAGGAAAGCCAAAACTCACCCGTACCTATGCCCCGTTGACTGGAGGCATTCGTTTGGTCAAGGCGCAGCCTAATGTCATCAACTTGAGCGGACGGGATGAGGCAGGATGGATTGTCAGTGAAGGTCAGTTATTGACAAGTGCCGTTCGTACAAAACTATGGATGGTCATCATGTTTATCATGGTATCCTGTCAAATGTGAACTCAAGGGATCCTGACAGTATTTATGGTAGCTAGTTTGGGTGATTTGGGGCATGTTTGGTTTGAATGTGTTGGTTCTTTTTACTGCTATTTGGCAGCCCTTCACGTTTGTTCAGTTCGGGTCTCTCTCGCATCTTGGAGTCACCACGGTACTCTCGTGTGGCCCTGCGCCTCCTTAAGGGCTACGTGTCCGCTACTAGCTACTTGACACAGTATACATAGCTCACACTATTCATTTGGCTCCTGGATCGGAGTGGAGCGGTCAGGGTGCCGGAAGCTTCGGTCTTGTTCCTAGTAGCGTCCGATCGCTCCTAGTAGTAAGGCCAGGAGCCCCTAGTAGCGTCCTTGCTCCCAGTAGCGATGCCCGTTGTTCCTAGTAGCGAACGTTGCTCCTAGTAGTGAGACCATGCCATGCCTGGCCAGGCCGACATGAGCCGCCACTTTCTCATGTCGGGCTACCCCGCCAGCTGGAAGAAGTGGGACTTGATGAAGGTGGATTTGTCGCCGCCAAATCACAGCGTACAATCTGGTGGTCCCGGTGGTTCGTTAGGGATTCAAGGAGACATCAATGGAGTGTTATTGGTGTGCAGGAAGGCTGTATTTGGGCAGAGCTCAGGCTTTTCTTGGTGTGAAAATGAAGGTTAGACATTGTATTTGGTAGGGTGTCAGCAAGTACAGCTGGGTTGCTTGTACTCCCAGATGCTTGGGTGACCATCCCATTGATCAGACTGTGTGGGTGTAGGGCTATCACGAGTTGCTCAGTGACACCCACACAATCTGCCCAGGATCATCCAAGTGATCCAGGTGTTCCATGGTGCTCTCCTTGTGAATGCTTGCGAATTTGTCTTTGGAGGTGTGGTCTCCACTATGGGTGGGCCTCTCCTACATCGATGACACCTCCTGCTGGGTCATCGCCAGGATTCGCTCACATTCACCTGCTGAGTTTTGTGGGGCTAAAGCGGTCATTCCTCAGCTTTTAGGAGCAAGGGCATCGCTACTAGGGGCTCCTGGCTGGCCTTACTACTAGGAGCAAGAAGCTACTAGTATCTACTAGTTGGGACAGGTTGAGAGACCTGTCCGCCCTTTCACCGGAGAGTTTGGACCGACGCACCTTGCCGCAAGTACTTGCATCTTGAAGCCCCAAGTCATCAGCATGAGGTCTTTAAAGTTCCCAAGCGGCTCATGATTAGAGCTTTGAAACGACCCAACGCTTCAGCAGTCATGTGTGTCCTTGTTTGCAAATGTTCACAGTCCGCTGCAAAGTGCCAACATGTACGAAACAATAAAGATAAAGAGAATATCAATAATATAACTCCACCCGCAAGCTTTGCACTAGAAGGTGCAAAAGATGCACAAGGTTTATTTGGGTTCATGGGCATCACAGGTCAGGAAGCAAAGTGGTGCTCTCTTTCCGACCAATCCCCGCAGGAATGAAGCCGATGCGATCAGCATCCAGAAGATCTACAAGATGATTGAGGTATCGGTAATTCCACGTGCCAATGAGAGGATTCAAACATCCCTGCTTTGGTGTGGATATGTGTGGATGATCGTACTGTACTAGCTGACAACTGGTGATTGGAAGTCATTAGTCCGATTATTTGTTTGCACACCACTTTTGGCTCATCGAGGCAGTTGGTCCATGTAAGTTCTTCAATTGGGGTCATAAGGAGGTGGTACTGTAAGCGTTTCACACAACACTCTTGAGATTGCTGTAGAGTAGTCGGCCTCACTCATGGCACCTGCTTGGTGTCACGTCAGCTGCAATTCTAGGTTTCGAAGATGCCAAACTTGCTGAAGAATCCTATCACATCCACTGGTAGCGCTTCCAAGTCTTCATTTTTGGTTGTGCCTGGGGTGTACTTCCGGAACCGTTTTTCTCCTTGAGACTAAGTATGAAGCTGTGATTGACTGGCCATGTAGCCCCCCTTATGCATTGCCCACGCGTGCCACCGTCAAGGAGCCGAGCTTCAAGCTGATGAGCTATGAGGAGCACAAGGCTGCCGAGGCGGATTGGCTGCTGACGCTAGGGCCGCTAGGCCGCTAGGGTCAGATCCACGATGGGTGTAGAAGAATGAGTCATTTGGTAATTTTTCTGTAGAAGTATCGCATGTGCAATGAAGTATCGCAATCTTCCACGATGATAGTATTTCAAGTTGATGAATGATGATCACGGCGGCATCTTGCTCAAGCTGAGCGATGAAAGCATACTAACTTTCCCACAGTTAGCGGTGGCATACAATTGTTGCCTGTAAAATCATGTAAAAATATATAGATACAGACGGCATTGTAGTCCTGCGTGTGCACACTCACACACTCCGTACTGCTCCATGTTTCTCACACAGGCGGACTCTGTCGCCCCCGCAGATTGAGCGCCCTTGGAGAAACAAGGGGCGTCAACTGTGCTGCAGTTGCTGTGGATAGATGGAAAAAACTGGAGAAAGACTCCAACATGTCTACAGGTTTGTTAGATGGCTAAAGCAATGGGAAGGATCGCATTGCATCGTAGCATTCTTTCTGAGAAGGAAAGGCAACTCCCCAGGAAAGCTGCACCAGACTGCCAGAAGTGGTAGGATAAGCAATTTGTTTGATGCTGCGCAAGGTTCTTTTGAGGATTTGTACAAGGCTTAAACCCCATTTTCGGGAACTGGCGGAATGGCAGATCGAGTCTTCAAACCCACGAGCTTTGGTCAGGACTCCCGGAGCCGGAGGAAGAGCCAAAGGCCATGTGCTAAAAACCGGTGGTCAAACAGCAGCGTACTATGTTTTTGACTTGCAAAACAAGCAGACCAAGGCTTCAAGGGGCTTGGTTAAGTTATATAACCTGAAACAATACCAAGGCTATTGACGCGCCATTGAATTATTCAGCTCACGATGTGTGTAGTGCTTTGGTGGATATTTCCACCTGCCTCGACATATCCACTTGGGATTAGCTACTCCACCAGACACCCAGGTATTCTGACAGTATCGGACAGGTCTCCAGAGACCACCAATAGATCCTACACTCATCTCACACACTATCTCCAACGCTGCACTCCACAGGTGTGCCTGCCCACGCGCCAGGCCCGGTGAATCTGCCTTTGCACTCAGATCGGACTTACCCCCCGCAAATCTCAGATCTACACAGGAGACTGACTCCAGATTGAATGACTCCGGTATGACCCTCAAAAAGCCGTTCGATGGACATTTGTGAGGTGATGAAGACAGCTTGTATGTTCTAGCCGCTTACCACCGAATCCACATGTTCTCAAATCCACAACACTGTTTTTTGATGCCCTGGCTCCTTTGAAGAGATCAAGCATGGGCAATGCAGCGATGAGCACGAGCCAACTCCCTGCCAGATGCTTCCATCATGAACCCGCGGCACTGAACATCAATATGGTTCCCCCGAAACAGGTAGAAACTTGCTTGGAACAGGTGTTGGAAACCATTTCTATCCATTTCTCAAAAAGGCATCCCAACCCCATTCATTCTTCATGGTCCAGGCCTCACATCGCTCAAGTGCCTCAGAGGCTGGAGATAGGGGTGGCCCATTTCATAAAGATGGGAACCACACGGTTTCAGGTGTCAAGCATGGTTTCTAGCTTGTTTCACACTTGTCCGCCAAGCGGTGCTTGACACCTTGTCCATCCTTGTCCTCTTTGCTCTGCCCGGTTTGGACCCACATCACAGAGTTGATGGCATTTCTAGCAGGCTAATGACACTCTCAATGTCTTACACCTTTGCTGCTCACTGTTCAAGAGTATGACGATATGACCCTCGTCAAAGCACTATAGACAAGACACATGTTGACTTGGTTGCACTTTGTATTCCGCACTTTTGTTGCGGACCAGTGGTTTGCATAGTGAAGATAGATTGGAGATGGTACCCATGCAGAAGCCGGTGATTAATCATTCTCAGGTTGGACAACATACGTCAATCAATTCGTTTCTGACTTTGTGTCAAGGCTACCCCGACTTGGGTTAGCTGCATCGTGGAAGCAGAATAATTCCTCAAGTTCCAGAGCAAGAGGATTGCCTCATGTACAGTATGTCCTTTAGCATCTGAAAATCTGAAGGTCCTGGCACTCAACCCCTTAGCGGCAGCCTATGATCTCAAGACACAAAGCGGTGTGTATTTAATTGTACACATGAATATGTAAGCATGAAATTGAACTTGTTTCAGCAACTCGCTGCACCAACCGTCTTAAAATGCTCCAAAAAGAAACTGAAACCTTCTGAATTGACAAAGAATTCGATCCAACCCTCTTCGCCAGGGCGCTGCGTCGCTGCGTCTGGCGGAGACCGATGTGCCTGAGGTCCAACTTAGTGCCATGGGAAGTTATGCTATATGTAACACACTAACAAGTTGCAGTGGCCTAGTACGGCTTTGACTGTGATCTCAGCCGGATGTAGACAGAACAAGTCTGATAAGCAGTATCTCAATATCAAGCGCTTGGAAAGCTGTCCACATAGAGATCTTAACTTAGGCTCCAAGTATCTTAGTCTTACCCAATCAAAGCAGGTGCATAGACCTTTGCCAGGTCGTTCCACCCTGTATAGCACGTTCTGCACGGACACCCAGAAAGATGTGACGCGAACATGGCATGATAATTTGCTGGGAGATAAACCCACCAAGCGTACAACACCTGGTAATTATTGGATGGAAGATGGCTTTTGGTCCAGTGAAGAAATGCTTCTAGGTGCCTGTTGGATGTTGCATGTAGTGTTGTAGTATGCTCAAATAATTTGAGCATACTGCAATACTACATGCAACATCCAAATAGAACCAGCCACACCAGGACTTGCGGTCGCAAAAATCACTGGATAAAGGGGGACCACTTTGGCAAGAAGACAAAAGTCACCTGTTGCTGCAGCAGCTAAAACCGCATAGTGGTCTAGCAACTATGTGATAAAGCATGTGTCATCCAGATTGTTCATCTGCAAGACAACTATCAACGGCCAGTGTCCTTGTCCGCACCCTGCTTGCACTTCACTTGACATAGCAGCAGTTGGTCAGTCTGCAAGACAGCTGTCAATGAATTCAAAAGAAGCTGGAGCCCAACAGACTCATTTCAAGACTCGCCTCCAGAGGTTTCTCTTTGATCATTCCGGCGAGCAAATCCAAACGCATGACGGCTCTTTCATCTCACCCGCAGTTCGGGCGGTGAGAGCCTGTTGGGTGGCAAGCTGCAGACTCGGTCACTATTAAGATCTAGCGTCCTTGTTCCTAGTAGCGATGCCCTTTGCTCCTAGTAGCGTCCTATTCAGTTGTATACATTCCGAATGGCAACTTTCGACACTTCACCTTCGCAGCAACAACGACAACTGCGCTACGTGGACATTCTGGTTCAAGTGTCAATTGGGTCACTTCTTCTCAAAAGGCAATGTTCCGCTCTTTGTTTTCAGCTTCAGGCGGGCGAATCATCTTCGAAGTTCATTGATGGGTGCCAAGTTTGTTGAAGGGCTACCTGTGGTTGCCTCAAATCATCTCAAACCCAATCTCAGGGGAAACGCGGACACACTCTATGGCGGAGATTTGGGTAAATATTGATACACATACTCCAGTGGCCTTTAAGATTCTTTATGAATATTCAAGTATATAATAAGAAATATATAAAGATAAAAACCTCTTTCTGCCTCTCGCGCACACGATTGAGTGTGACACGGCCTGCAGCTTTCCACTGCATGGCCACGGATGTAGGCCCACCCCACGGGCGAAGCACCAAATTAAAAGAATCAAGTGCAAATGGAAAAAACTTCTTTGATTGTGGGTTACTCCAGAGATGCGCTGAAAGGCCGACCAAACACACGAGGTGAACATGGCGCTTCAGAGCCCCCCTGTTCGAGCAGCGCTCCACCGGTGAAACTGCTGGTGATTCAAGCAGACGACTATGATTGGCCTGTTGCTTGGCTGGACAAGCCTGTTGACAGCATACTTCTCACTAAAAATCAATTTTGCATTTCTTGGGAGCCAGTCCCATCGCCACGGTACGCGTTCACGCCACTTCAGGCCATGTTGAAGGGCGCCACATTGCAGGACCATCATCGGACCCTGTGCAACAGCACAACGGTCAGGATTGTGTATTCCATCCCTCGGCTCTTCTTCCCTTGCAACAATTCAAAATTGAGTATAAATATATAACTATAAAGTGCACAACGCAATTGCTGTGTTGCAGGAACCTCGTTGTCCTTGACCTGTCAGTTTTTTTCCTGGCCGCCAGCTTGATGGAAGTCCACCATTAGGATCATTAGGAACATATGTGAGATATCTCAAGCCATTGGCACTTCAGTCCAAGATGCTCATTCAACAACATGGTTTCAGAAGGTGTTTTGCCTAATTGACAAGAAGTGTTTGCGGGCGTAGCATGCTACATGTGTTCAAGATCTTGGTTTGGACTGCCATATCAAAATCAGCCGATTGTGCATTGGCTGCATTTACTACGTTTGCATAGTTTAGTTTTGTCTTAGATTGATTTTATCTATTTCGCATGGACGGTACGCAGCGAGAATGGATGCGAGCAATGAAGATGATGTCCAGATTGTTGCCCTTGGACGGCAAAGGATTTCCTATCAGACTCCCGCTGGGAACGCTGGTTGCCACCCATGTCAATTGTTTTTGGAAACTGCCGGATTCGAGTTTCCTTGTCGAGAGAACTTATTACCATCAGAACTATCGAGAGTTTGTGGTCCCTGCAGAAAATATGGACTGGCATGGACTCTGGGAAAGCAGTTCTCACAGGTTTGTTTTCCAGTTCACGTTCGACTACTGCTGCTCTTTTTGTTTGCAATGTCCACAAAAGTCAGCAATCCAAGCCGGAAAGAAGAACTATCGTGTTCCTTTAGTGTTTGCAGGTATGATAAAAACAAATCTCAAGTATGATTGTATTTTTCAGACCATACAGAATCAGTTTTTTTGCAGCATGTCAATCTGTACTACTTTTGGGTCAAGTCCATTACACAACTGTTTGACAGAGCTGTTTTGCTTCTCCATTCCTTAATCAAGAATCAATATGTCCAATGCAAGCAAAAATGCAACAGTTTCCCCAATCAGCAAGGAATCTGTTGGGATTGATTTGTTGGTTGATGGCAAGCGAAGCACTATATAACCCCTGAGGTAACGGTAAGGGCATTCCATTCCAGTTGCCCAAATCCAAAGAGGGTGACCTGAGCTCACCACTTGCATTCTTCTTCACCTGCACTAGCCTCTTGATTTTTGCAGCCACCCAATGTCCCCAATGTCGATGCTGATCCTCAGATTCCAGAGCTAGAATCTCTAGCCACGAAAGCTGAGAGGACGGTCGACCCATCCTTGTCTTCCAGACCGGGTGGCCCGACATCCACGTGCACTGCTCGACCTACTCGTCAGCAAGGAGACTGGTGAAATTAGGATCCGTCCGTTTACGCTTCTCGATTCCTATTGCACAATGTGTTCCATCGCTATTTCTTTTTGACATGTGTTTCTTCCAGTTGAGGATGAGAGCTAGACTACTGGGGGCTCACCAACCTTCACCAGAGGTTCATGGTCATGGTTTGGTGTTCAGAATCTGCTTTGTTGGGTGGTGAAACCGGTGAAACTCATTCCTTGACTGGGCAAAGCAAGGTATGTGATCTCTTGAAACATCCCACTGCTGCGCTTGACACACAAGGTAATTAAATGATATTAAATGTAATTGATATCTTGCAGAATCATGCAGCTGAGCAAAGCATCAGGATGTGTTTTGGTTTAGTGTTCCAGGGGGCATTCATCACTTGCAAATTGTGACGGAATGATATTGGGCAAACCAAGAAAGAGCATTGAGTCGATTGAGTTGTGTTTCAATCGTGCCCAGAGGATCCTCAACTTGTCTCTTAAACACTCTTAAACACCAATTCCTAGTGTTTCACCCTCGCCTCAGCTGGCAGGATTTGTGTTGAGATGATGAGCTGGGCCAAGACAGCCACGCTCCCGGATGGCTATGTGTCGAACCGACGGATCACCATTCAGCCAGATTTCGTGCTCGTGAGGAACGAAGTGAGCCTCGATATGCGTGTTTTCGTGGAGCTGTAGGGGATCGAGCTTTGTCAGATTCATCCGAATGTGTGGACTCGAGATTTGTTTGTGGAGACGCACTGAAACCTGGGTGGATCATGTATCTAGCGGAATCTAGTGTTTGTTTGACCGAGCTTTCCACAAATCCTGAGGAAGACCCCATCCTTCGATGGCAGGAGCAAGTTGAATGGCCTTCTGTTTGCCGGTGGCGGAGCTGCAGATCGTCCCGACCCCATAGACATAGCCCGCATGAACCACGGATTTGCTTCACTTCCAGAGCGTATGTGGTAACCCTTGGGAACCCTTTCCTTGTGAAGTCAAAAAGTGCAGTGGGAAGATTCGTCAACCAGCAACTGGTTTAACCCTCCCACACAAATAAGAGGCTAAAGTCGCCACATGATGTCACACCAGAATGGTTTTCATTATCACTATCACATGTTATCAAATGTTATCAAAGCGTTATCACTAACTATAGCACCACTCCAAGCGTTACTGACAGAAGCTGAGCCTTGCCTAGAAGTGAACACCAAACTGAACTCAGAGCACAATGATTCTCAAGTGACTGTCAGACTGTTTCAGACTCTGAGGTGTTCCTTGCATGAACTCGCTGGAGTCGATCCTTCTCTTCTGTGAGCGCCCGGCGGTGCAGGGCGCCCTCCACCGCTTGCAGCGCGCCGGCGCAGACTTCCCAGTGGTACCGCCACTCGGTGGACGGAGTTGGACATTCTTTCGGTCCGTTCGGTGGAATCCAAAATTGAAACCACAAAGTAAGTGCCATGAGGTCCAGCTTTGAAAAACTGAGAAAACAACGAGGATTGTGTCAGAGTTTGTGCCAGATTCATACATTATGATACACATTTCATTAGTAATGTTCATTAATGTTCATTACATGTGCGTTACAATTCGACAGTTTTCACAGCAAGTTCAGGAAGTGAGACCCCTATCGGTGCTTTCTTGATGCGGCGTGGCAACCCCGCCCAAATGTCGAAGTCGCTCCGACCCTCCGATCGCCGTTCCGAACGGCGACGGTGTCCAGGCAGCACTTCTGTTCTTCTTCGAAAAGCTTGATGCCTCTCGGCACGAGCGGATTCCGAAAGAGACTCCACGACATTCCGCACTGTTTGGGGGTACCATGCAAAGGAAGTTTAAGCTTGGCTCAGTGGCACGGTGACACTTTTCAGGTGAAATCCAATGATGCGTTCGTGAAGTTGGGTTAGTTCGTGACCATTGATCCAGGACTATTGTTTAACTCAATGACTATGACCATCAATACGACCGGGCATGTCTCCATGAGCCACGGGGCCGTCCGAACACGTTAGGAATCGTTTGGTGCTGAGTCTGGAGTTCCATGGAGTTCGTTCGAGCAAGTTCATCCTGAGTGCATCGCCTCGACAGGTACGGCTACACGTTCCCTGCTGTGGTGAAGGTGGGCTCTGCACACGCTGGCTGTGGAAAGATGAAGATTCACGAGCCTGGGCTGTTAAGCGCGGGTCTATTGAGGGAGGTTTCCTTGGTACCACTGAACTAACGCTGACGTGCGTGCAAGTCTTGTACGGCCTGCTAAAGCAAAACGGCACCTGTTCGGTCACTAAAGTCCTTGATCTCAGTTCTTAATCCATGCATGGCTACATGGTCCAATGGATTGCGGTCCACGTGAGGATCACAAACAAATGTCAGACTTCCGCTCGATCTTGGAGATGATGCCAGATGAGCACTGCATGGTGGAGCCCTTCATTGAGAGCCAAGGGGATTTGAATCTTGGTAGACAGTACGTACCTATTGGAGAAGTAGACAAAATAGACTTGAATTCAAAATGCTCCAGCTTCCAAATGAATGTGTCAAGCTGTTACTACAAAGCTTGAACCTCATGGTTGAAGAAATGCAAAACAGGATTGGAAGCTAGATGTAGCTAGTACCTAATCAAGAGGTTGGAACAATATGTTCACCCTTTGAGAGTTTGCTCAGCAATGTGCGTGTGATATGCAATGATCAAGAAAGCAGAGTTTGTGAAGAGTGAGGGCTGTGAGGAGGAGTGCCGTTTTAGAGTCTTTTTCGCTGGGGTCCTTCGTTTATCTATGAAGATGTTTTCCTTTTTTTACCGCCCTTACTTCCCACATTGCTCTTTGATGCCGGCCACTGCAGCTGCAGAGACCGTTTTCTAAAGGGAAAGATGCTACCATGCAAATGCGAGTGATATTTTGTGGTCACTCGGGCCCAAACGATGCAAAGCTGTGGGCCCTGGCCGCTCTCAGGAGGATCCAAAAGATCGGCTCCAACTATCGTGCCTTCAAGCGCATAGGTGGGAGGAGAAGCCGTGTTTTCGCAGAGTTCAAGCGTTTGGTTTTTGAAGCGAGAAAGTTCAGCCCTCCACACCGCGTTGCATAGAATTGACATCAGGATTGCCTCTCTCTAGGGCAACCACGAAGTGTTTGATCAGCATCTCGTTTCTTGCAGAAGGTATCTCGGGCGACTGGAAGACCAACACTTGCACCTCCATCATGGACGAGATTGAGTGCACCGAACGCAGCTGGGACACAAAAAGGCCCAGTTGCAGATATTTGGAGCTAAGGCCCTGGATTAGGGCATCCTGTTTTTCAGTCGAGTTTGCAAAATGCGAAAACACAACATCCCAATGCAACTTTCCAACATCTAAAGAAATGCAATTGCACCAAAAACTTCCACAACCACCGAGGGTATCGCCGCTGGGCCGACGCTGCAGCCACCTTTTTTGGTGGCCTGGATATCTTGACGGTGGACGCGATCATTGAGGCAGAGACCGGCAAGGCACATTGGTTGGTTTGACGATATTGGCAATTCAGTTGTGGTTGGATCATGTTGGATCGTCTTTGGGCAAACGTGACCGCAAGTGATTTAGGGCTGGGGAGTATTCATCAGGATCCAGGTGGGATCTTGGATTTTGGGGGCTTTGAGCGTCTATGGGATGTTGTGGGTATGCTTTCGAGAGTCAAGCTTACCCTCTTTTTGGTTTGCATATGGCATGTGTTTGCATTGTTTTGATCCTTGTTTGTTTATGTGTGTTTTTCTTTTGACCTCCCACTGCCCCACCCCTGTTTTGGTGTTTTTAGCACTCAGATCCTGCAGGGTCCAGTCACGACAATGAGTTCTTTTTGCATGTAGAAAGAATGGCAAAGTCCAGATACCACACAGTCAAGAAATTATACGGTGGCAACGCAGGAAACCTTGCTTGGCTACACAGGTGGAGCTGAATCGTAGGTACTAGAAACCCGTGCCTACTGCCATGTGCAATTTGATTTCCTGACAGATCTGGATAGGGTATGCCACGTGTTTAGTGGAGAAGATACAAGCTGCTGCACAAAGTTCTGACCATCATCAGTGATTTGATGTTTTCTCCGATGCCGAGTCAGGAGTTTATTTTGGAGGTGAACGGGACCTCCTCTGGGTTGCATCCAGACAAAGCTGAGGAGCGACCAAGGCACTCTGGTATCTCTCAGGGTGTTCGACGACGGTACACAATAGGTGAGCTATGGCAGGCTGATGCACCAATGCATAGGCAACCCGGTTCGACGGCCGTTGCTCGCCAGGAGGACAACGGTTTCATCAAGCAGTTGCTTTTGGAGAAGATGAACTTGACCTTGTGCTGAGTCATCCTTTTCTGTTCCCCACATTTGCCGTGTGCAGACCTTGGATACCATGACCCAGGGTGGTAGTGTGGGGCCAGAAGAAACGATCAAGACAGACACCTGATTCTGGCGTGTGAACGTGAGGATGTCGTACCCAGCTACCAACTGACAGTGACCCTCTTTGAGATGTTGAGAAGCAACGCTCCTAAATCCTGTGTTTAGGCTGGAGTGCTACACATTCCGGTTTTGACACGCATCTTTGCCCAGCATCTGTACAGAAAGAGGCGTGGGTGAAAATGGATGAAAATGTGTGAACAGCTGCCCTTCCAAGCCTTCACAAGAATGACAGATTGGGTCACCTTAGCCATTAGTTGCATGATGCAATCTCGAGTTCACCATGGAGAGCTTGCTGGCTGAAAGAGCCAGTGAAACAGCTAAGAGCTAGAATGGAATACATTGAATGATGTATATATACAACATTGTACAATGTCCAGACTAATCGCAGGTCGTGCATCCTGCCTTTTTGGGTTGCAAGGTGAGTGAAAGGCCACGGGTTCGGATCAATGGTCAAATTCTGCTTGCTATAGAGATATCTAAAGGTATTTTACAATGTGTTCATTGTTTCACTAAATTTGTGGTGTAGAGTTCCATTTGGGATACCACCGACAGTGAATGCCCTCCCGTCCTTGAGGTGGTGACGTGGAGCGACTTGGGGGAGAACCCCCCGGTCCTGGTCCAGGAGAGGGCGGTTGTGCTTGGAAAGTTTGGATCCGCTCAACAAGGCTCTTTTGGAAGAGTTTGCTACTAGTAGCAAGGGCATCGCTACTAGGAGGCTCTTTATTGGCTTTTCTTTCGTCTTGTATATTCAGGCCTCGTTAGTACCAGGACTTGAGCAATCCAGCGCAAGAGGGGAATTGTATGGGATCATTTTGGCGTTGGGAAAGTTCTTTGCTTCACACATTTACACTGATTATCAGAATTGCGTAGATAAGATTCGTCTTTTGCAGACTCACGGTTATGTTGTTCCTCCCTCATGGAGCAATCAAGATTTGTGGAAGTGTATTGCAGATCTCTTGGCAGATCGCGGAGCACATGTTCATGTTGAGAAGATCCAAGCGCATGCAACTTTGGACAAGCTGCAAGAACCAATTCGCGAATTGTGTTGGCAAAACCACCAAGTTGACCACGCAGCTAAATCCGTGCTTCTTTTGAGAGCACCTTGCGAAAGACTGTATAAGCAAGTTTTTAACAAGTTCAAAGACCAACGAGCTCGTTTGCATAATTATCACAAATTCTTGGTTTCTGCAGCGAACCATCGCTTTTCACTCACCGAAGACAAGGAAAATAAGTTTTCACTTAATTAACCCTCTCATGTCTACAGACAATGTACTTATTCTTGACATCGACTGGGAGAAACGCGACCAGGTCTGTCAAACACAAGACAACTGGCCAACAGCGTTTGTTGATGCCTTATTGCAATGGGTGATTTTGCTGCGCTGGCCTCATGGCGAGCCTGTTTGTCCTGAAAACGATATCCCTTGGTGTGAATTGTATATCGACTTCATTGCGCACGCACGTACTCTAGCCCCAACACTCATTCCTGGGACTAAGAAGTGTGGGGTCGCTGCTAGGCATGCTTCAAAACACAATCCGCTTGTGTATCACGTCTCTCCCACTTTGGGACGGGGCATTAGCACCTTCGCAAAGGGGTCATTGCCATGCCTTTCGCATACTGCACCAAAGCTTTGTCAGCACGCAGATTAGGCTTTTCTGCAGTAAAGCCTGGCATTGCGGCCCGGCCTTCACGTGTAGGTGGCCTTAATGCTGCACGCTGGTTTCAGAACACGCTGACCAGCACAAAGAAAACTCGGAACGATTTGTCTTTTACGTTGACGACACCACCGCTTTTTCAAATTCGTAATTAAATACCCTTGATGTACTTGAATCCGCATCCGGCTTTGCTTTCGTTCGGCCACGCCCTTAGTTTCTTGCCTTCGTGCCTTCCGTGCATTCGTGTTTTCTCGCTGTAAATTGTTCCTGCATTGGGGACCAACCAGGTTGTGCCTCGGTGTCAGATCATTGCAAAGAGGAAAGCAAGACATTTTCTTTCGTCTTGTTACCGACGTGGCCAGATGTGGTAGGGGAATGCTGGCCCTCGGCGCTTGCATTGCTTCAGGAGACCCACCATGCCTATCCGCTGGCGTCGCTTGGTGACAAGAAAAGCATGATTGATGGACGTTCAGAGTAATAACCGGTTCGGCAGTTGTCAGAAGCTCCCGATGTCCAAGTCCAGGGTGCACATTTTTTGATCCACCCTCAACTCATCGCAACTCGGGGCCCATAAGACATATTAAGTTGAAGAGCTTCTGGTGAGTGCTCCAATTCGCCATGTTTTGGTGCTAGTGAGTGCTAAGGGGCAAACATATGTGTTTGGTATGCTACAAAGGCCGGTGCCAGTGTATGTGTTTGCAGATGTTTGCAGTATAGACTCCAACAAAATGTTGTTGACTATGTTGGCCTCTCAGTAAGTGCCCGGCATTTTGCAATGTTTCCTATCATGGTTTGCTTAATTCCCATCCATGCCAACCCTGGGGGGCTCTTTCACAGTCAAGACCATTGGGGATATTGGGGTTAGTAAACTTACTCACCAAAAGAACTAGATAGAATTATATAGATGCTATGCATATCTATGCCACTATGCATGGATTTTCCCGGTCTCATGCTCGTTCAATCCAAGGACACAGATTTTTACGGCCTTTGCGATCTCCAAGACATTTGGAGTGTGGAAGCACAGCGACTACTGAAGTTTCACTGGGCTGTTCTAGCAGGTTCCGACAGCGGTCAACCACATTGTTGTTTGATAATCAAGAAACTTTATATTTGGAGAATCCTCCAATAAGAATGACTTCCGCCGAGATACGTGCTTCGTGGTTGGAAAGGTTGAGACAGGCTTGATTTGCAACATCCATGTGGCCCCCGCCCTAGGCAGTCAGAGAATAGTCGAGGGATAATGAAGGATCTGTGCTTTTCAAGCCATTGATCACTTGTCAGGCTATGTAGGGGGAGGCCGCTCATCCCAGTCGAAAGACACCACGCTTCGAATCAAAAGCCCAGGAGCCCATCCTGCAGTTGCCAGCATGTGTTGCCGACATGTGGTTAGCAGTTGTTCTTGACGGGAGGCTTTGGGCTTAGAGTTATATAGAGGAAGTGAGGAAGGAATAGTTCATAGCTTAGCAAGCTGTGGGACATGAAACTGCTTGAGCTGGAACCAAGCCTCGGAATTCAACGAAGTGTGGATATAGCCTTAAACAGCTCAAGCACAACTGGTCTCGACCCCATGAGCTCCTTTGTTGCCTTGAGCAGCCATTTCGCTTCAAGTTTATGTGGGCCAGAAAGGAAAGAGTCAAATCCAGCCCGTAGTTTTCAAGGAGCTCTTCATGAGACTGCTGGAAAGATCAGTTTGGAAGTCAGTATGTTGGATACCTTGTACACCTGCCTTTTTCAGGCTTGAGTGGAATCTGGAGATTGAGGGTGCATTGCAAGTTGGGTGGAGGGAGGTCTTATCCTTGGAGCATCTTGGACCCAGAAAGGCCTGAGGCCGCAGAGTGAGATAGTTAATTTATTGTTCTATTACATATTATTATATAATTATGTTTTATTGAATTCCCTGATTGCTCCTTGTCACAATCTTAGCTCGGACGTTCACCTCCACAGGCGGTTGTGGGGTGGAACCTTCTCGAACCACTTGGTGGAGTTTGAGTGTCAAATGCTTTAGATTCCCAGACCCCACTGATGAAATCTGAACCAATTTGTCCACCTTCCGTTGCCTTGCACTGAGAACCCAGTGAACCGTAGAGGTGTTGGGGTGTGGGAGAGATGCGTTCAAAAGGAATCCGGAATATAACTGCAGGGCCTACAGGCTACTAGCGATGGCCTCCAACCTAATAGCGATGGCCAACCTAATAGCGATGGCCTCCAGCCTAAGTATGTCCTTTTTGTTGTGGGTACCTGCGGCAGCAACAGCCACTGGCATGGCCCTCGTGAGCTGGAAGAGTGCGCGGATCACTGCTGCGGGCTTGGGCTTGTGACTTGGAGGCTCTCAAGAGATGATGAAGGATTGATCTTTGAAGTTTGCAAGGGATCAAGCATGTACTAGTAGTTGACACCCCATACATGTTCAAGGTGACTGGGATGGGTTTGTTGAATCTCTTCCCAAGGACCCGGGTTCTACAGGTTCTAGTCAGCTGTTTCCTTTGTGATCCAATCATCAGATCCCATGCCTCGCCTCAGATTGGAGCCCGGTCGGTGGCTGGATGCCGCTTGGTGGTGACGTGCCGAAACCTGGGCCGGTAGAGCGTCACAAAAATCTTGAGTCGATGTTGTCTAAATGCTTTTCAAGAGATAATTTGGAAGGATATTTGCCTTACAGTCACCTAGCCTACTCCTGGAGCTAGATCTTTGTAGTGATTCCTTCAAGAGGGTATGCCACATCCGTTGCCGAATCCGCCGTAGTCCGATTGGTTGATGCCACAGTCCAATTCGAAACAACGAGCAAAGTCGTTCAGCGCATGCGGCGCATGCAACCGGCGGACCGGCCGTGGAAGGGCCGTGCCGCCCAGGACGAAGTCATGAACTTCTGGATCCAGTACTACACCACAACAGATCCACCAGCTCCATGGCCAGAAACAGTGTCAATACATATACATGTTAAATTATATGTATATATATATATATATATGTGTGTGTGAGAGGGTGTTGTATATGATTTGTAATTTGTAGAGTTCGCCAGACTTTGAAGAGAAGTGGTTGGTTTAGTATTGTTTACACAGTATGTATCAACAAACTCAATTTATTTGCAATGATTCCCTAACAACACCTTGCCAGATTCTTACTTGTTTGCTTCTCCTTCAGTTGTTCGTTTTTGTGATGCTACACCTTGGAAGTGGACCCTTGGGTGACTCACACAGATTATGTACGGCAATGTGGCCACGGTCACCCTTTGGATCTCAGGACGGACTTGGTGACCGCGAGGATGTGTTGATCATGGATCCCTCTGTGGTGAGTTGGCAACTCGGTGGAAAACTGGACCTTCACTCCACAATCTACGAAGCCCAGGAAGTCATCGGTCGAATCACTCCAATGATCTATACATGGTCAGGAGCCTTGGATAGGAACCTGGGGGCATTCCACCCCACGCCATTTGAGCGACTAGGTGGACGGGCCTCATGTCGCTGAGGATCTTGTACGAGCTTACCTCATGCAAGGAGCCGGACTTGGAAGATGTGCAAGATGCCCTGGAGTCCTGCG